AAAGTCGTGTTTCTATTTATACTAAACAGAAATCTCAACCGGAGCAAGAAATAGACCCAGGCCCGGAACCGCTACGCGGTCGACCGCAGTACCCAAGGCGGTCGACCAGTCAGAACGACGAAAACTGGAAAAATCGATTACAGTATTTTCGGTCGACCGCAGAGCCATGCATCATCGGTCGACCGCTGTTTTTCGGTCGACCGCAGAGCCTTCATCGGTCGACCGCTCTCAGTCCCGAGACATAGTCTGGGCCTGTGCACTAAGCGGTTGACCGCCGTGACCAAGCCGGTCGACCGGCCAGAGTCCAGCTGCAAACCTGTAGTTTTGACTAATCCTTCGACTTCGTCGCCTCCAATGGCCTCGTCCACGACTCCTCTACTCTATTCTCAAGATACCATGAGAATCATCTATCCTCAAGCTTCCATGAGGATCGCTAAGCTCCCGAAGAGAAGATACACCCGTATCACAATGCCAGGTTCCCCAAATGTCAGGTTCCCCATCTTCATCTCTTGTGCCATCTCTTGCGCCAACTCCAGCTCTTGTTCTTCCTGTACCTGACAATCAAGGTATGTAATCACTCATTAGAACCCTAACTTTTTCTCTGATAGTGGGAAAATTGATAACATGTTGTTTGCTAATCTCTGAATGGTACTGATTTGAAATTAGGAACATTCTTTCATGTTGTTTGCTAATCTCTGAATGGTACTGATTTGAAATTAGGAACATTCTTTTTCAATACTAAAACTGTCTATTTTGTTGGTTTGATCTAATTAGGAACATTCTTTTTCAATACTAAAACTGTCTATTTTGTTGGTTTGATCTTGTATGCGCACTTAGAGTTTATTTGGGGTAAAATTCAAAATTTATGCAAGTTTCTAGTTGTTGTTGATAAAAATTGGTCAATGTTATTTATTAACTTCATAGTGGCAATTTCCCATTTGATCTGCATCGCAATATAAAAGAGCCGACAATATTACAGCAAGGATGATAGAGACAGATATTGTGTTCTTGCAAAATGTCCGTTAAGTGAATTATGATGAAAATTTAATGACAATTTATGTGTACAGTAATGATAAATAAGAGAATAATCTATGTTTTTCCAAATTATAACAGATTAAGAAAGTAAAGTAAATCTTGTTAGGTGCGAGGTTGACCGGCCACTTTGGAATTTTTTGCTAAAACTATGAAAACGTATAGTATGCTGACATCCAACAATTAACAATGTTGCTTGTAAGAACCTTGTTTTTAGAACATTGTTTTCTATCAGTGAACAATATTTAATAGGGTTAATATTTTGTTGCATAACTAATTTTTTTACTAATGTCTTATTAAATAATATGCATGCCAGGTGAATCCTGAAGCCCATCCTTAATGGAATACGAGGACATAATTCTGAATTCCTATACCACTGAAAATGAATGGTATGAGTTTTATAATTCATATGCCAATTTGAAGGGTTTTAGCATTCGAAGGGATAAAGTGAGATATGATAAAAATGGAAATCTTTACTATCGCAAATTTGAAGGGTTTTAGCATTCGAAGGGATAAAGTGAGATATGATAAAAATGGAAATCTTTACTATCGCAAATTTGGTTGCTTTAAAGAAGGAATTCGTGAAACTAAGCATATGGATAGAACAGATAGAACATATAAAGAACGAGCATTATCCAGATGCAATTGTGATGCATGCCTTGAGATTTTTTTTGATAACGAAACACAGAGATGGTTTGTTTATAGTTTAAGGGATATGCATAATCATGAGCTTGCAAGCCCAGATGAAATTCCTTTTCTTCGCTCTCAACGAAGATTGATGATGTACAAATGGAAGAAATTCATATGCTAGCACAATGTGGCATTCCTAAAAATAAAATTATGGATTTCGTGGAGTATAGAGACGGAGGTTATGAGAAGGTTAGTTTTATTAGAAAATATATTTATAACAAGTGGGGTAAAATATCACAAAGAATAATAGAACAGGGAGATGCACAAACTGTATTGAATATGATGAAACAAAGAAAAAGGAAAGATGTAGATTTTTTCTATTTGAATAAAACTGACGATGAAGGCCATCTTACACAAAAGAAAAAGGAAAGATGTAGATTTTTTCTATTTGAATAAAACTGACGATGAAGGCCATCTTACACATTTGTTTTGGGCTGATTCTCAATCAAGAGTTGACTATGAAGCTTTTGGTGATGTTTTATTATTTGACAGTACTTATCGAACAAACAAATATGCCATGTCTTTCATACCATTTATTGGTTTAAACCATCACCAGAGAACAATAATATTTGGATGTGGAGTAGTTTGTAATGAAACAACGGCGAGCTACATTTGGTTGTTGAAGGCATTTAAGATGGCGATGTGTAAAAAAGAACCTTTGTCTGTCATTATCGACGATGATAGTGCCATGCGTGAAGCTATTATCACAGAGTTTCCGGACGTAAAGCATCAGTTGTGTTCTTGGCATATAGGGAAAAACTTATATGACAATATAAGAAATCGTTCGGTTAGAGCTGTCTTCCAAGACCTTATTTCAAGAAAATATACAGTTGAAGTGTTTGAAAATAAGTGGAAAGAGCTTCTTGCTAATAAGATAGGTAATAAAGAGAAAAAAATGGCTGCTAAGAATGTATGAAAAAAAAATATTTATGGGCTGCTACCTACTTACATGGGCATACTTTCTTAAGTCTTAGAAGTACGCAACGCAGTGAAAGTATAAATTCTATTCTGCACAAATATCTCAACTATGGCATGACTCTTGTTGATATGAAGTGAAAGTATAAATTCTATTCTGCACAAATATCTCAACTATGGCATGACTCTTGTTGATATGATTCATCACTATGATAGATGTGTCAAATATCTCAACTATGGCATGACTCTTGTTGATATGATTCATCACTATGATAGATGTGTTTCAGGTGCTCGTCGAAATGAAGCGGCAGATGACTCTAAAGCCTCCCAATTTACTCCATATCTGAGAACTTGTACAAGAAAATTAGAGTTATATGCTTCTGATGTTTATACACCTGCTATTTTTGATCTAATTCAAATTGACATGCAAAAAGGAAAAAATTATTGTATCGTAGGGCACAACATTGTTGAAGGACTTCACAACTTTGTTATCACAATTGACTCAAATCCAGAGGTGCGCACCATAGTTTGTTGTGAATGGGAAAGTGGAAAGTTAGTTAAGTTAACATGTGAATGCTTGCAACTAGAAACAAAAGGAATACCATGCAGCCATATGTTTTCCTTAATGAAATATCTAAATCTTACATCATTTCCGGAGTGTTGTATTTGGCCATGGTGGACTAAAAATGTTAAAGCTGGATTTGCTTCTGATAGACATGGCATAGTGAATGAAGTCTCAGGTCATGCAGTTAGAAACCAAAAATTGGTGAAACTAGCAAAACAAGTGTGTTATAAGGCAGCTAAGTCTGAAGATTAATTTTCTGAGCTTATGAATTTTCTTAATAGCAAATTAGCATCATTTAAACTGATGGAAAATAAATCTGAAGCATCTAATGATTATAACTCAGATGATGGAACATGTGAGATAAATGTATATGAGGATGGAGATATAACAATCGTGCTAGATCCTATCCAAGCAAAGACGAAAGGTGCACCTAGAAAAAGATTGAAGGCAAACAGTGAAAAACGAAATAACCATTGTGGCATGTGCAACCAACATGGTCATAATATTCGGAGCTGTCCAAGTATTTCAGTAAACAACGTTGACAAACAAGATGTGAATAACAACATTGGGTAATTCTAATTAGATTATGATCATTATATTTTTGTGCATATTCTCTTATCTAAAATATCAAAAATAATTAAGTTATGTCAATTACAGGCGATATTTCCCATCTGAGATGACATGGTCACAAGAAGACTACAACCTGCATTGATATGAAACAACATTATATTGAAAACTTTACAAATTCTAGGTATGTAATATTATTGTACATGCTTATGGTTTATCTTTTGTTTGTATGCCTAGAAAAAAGCTAAAGAGTAGAATTATACACAAGCCCTGATAAAATATTTGTTTCGGTTAATAAGTATCTTCCTTTGCATATCTCCTGAACTCATTACATGTTGGCATACTGCATTTCTCCTGAACTCATTACATGTTGGCCTACTACATTTTCTAACTCATGATTTTCCTACATTATTTAAGAATTTCTTTGCTCCAATATCACTTTCTATCTATGCCAATAATTTACTTATTGTTATTGTAGTATCCTTCTCTTTGTTTTGTAAACAGAAATGGGTTTCTATTTTGGGAAAATGTTAAAAATGGACCACAATTGGTAAGTCGTCCTATGCAGTTATTAAAAATGCGACCGCAATTGGCCAGTCTTTCTCTGCAGCTAAGTCAATAACTTGCTCTTTATCTTTTGTGGTATGACAGTGTGGAAGACCACTTATAGAGAAGATGGATGGTTCAATCTTGCTAGGAATCTGTGGCTATCGAGAAATCTGCCTGCTGTCTTGCTCACACGACTTGTCTTAATAGTCTTTTTTCCTAAGTGCGCGAGCTACTAGTTCAAGCTATGTTTTTCTTTTTCTTAGTGTGATATGATTAGAGCAGGACATACATATTTGGTCTCTTATTCTTATTGTGATTAAATTGAGGTCAATTTGCATACACGAGGCTACGTAGAATGGAGGCTTCCATTATCATCCATTCTTGGTAGTACGCTCTGTCATATTATGTTAAGTTTTGCTGTAAATAAACATCTGCTATTGAACGAGTTACTTTTTAAAGTTAAATTTGAGAAGTGAATGAGTTTGAGCTGACCAAGAGGGGTTGTATATTGTACTCGCTGACTGTAGAAGTCGAATATAAATTTGTTCATGGTTGTGAATATGGATTTTCATTTTACTGTGCTCTCTATTTTGGCATCTATTGCACGTGAACTTTTAATCAATAATTTTCTTCATAATAAAATCTCGTTAATGAATTTTGACCATGCATTCATGTTTGGAGGTCAATTTCCATAAAACTTCACCTTCTTATTTGGATCACGTGAATGAAACTTTGCTATCTCCTCTTTATCCTGCTTATGGAACCTCTTAACACTTTTGGTCATACTATCAAGAAGTTCAACTGGTACTCCGTGGTTCAGAAGCTGAAAGAATCCCCATGATTTTGATGCAAAACGAACTTCTTTAACAATTTCTTGTTGACATTTAGAGTCACTAATGTCTTGGAGGTCTATGACAGGGACTTGGAGGTTTGTATTGACCCCATCTGAAGGCTTTGGGAGGTTTTCTGGAGAGTGGATAAATATTCTTGGGATTTGCTTGGTGCCAGAATCAACGAGCCCTTTTACGCCAGCTTTAGTTTTGTCGAACTCCTTGAGCTCTTTCATTCAGTCATAGCTTGTATGAACTGCTGTTGTAGATTGCTTAGCTGTTGCTACAATGAGAATAATGAATTCTTTAGTTTCTGAAACTTTTAGAGTAGTATTAACGTGCAATCTCGGTAGGGGCTGCAGATTTTATAGGTAGTTAAGTTGGCTTATCAGTTAGAAAGCTTGAGCATTCAAACTCTTGAAAAAGTTCGATATTGGCTAAATATGAATAGGCTTGAAATAGAAGGCGGAAAAAAGCAACCGCTTAAAAGATCAATTACATAGCTTGAAATATCAGTTCCGAAAAAAATATTTGTAAAATCCATCAGTTACAAATTATATGTTTCATCACTCACTGATAGACTTATAACCCAGTTTCTTGTTATTTGACATTTAGAAGAACTTATGTTCTCAAGTGCCTAGGATACCTTGAACCAAAACTTTTGATCTCTTTCTTTGTGTATTCACATTGGTTCCACTCCGATAGAATGAATTCAGCAATCAAAGTTCTACGGAACCTTTTAATGTAGGCCTAGACAACAAACAACCATGAAAATTAGCAATCACATGTAAATACAGTACACGAGGTGACAATATTTAGCTTTCATCCATGTACTACTAGGCTTATATCAACTCTCATATGACTTCCATCCCAATATTCCAAAAACTTTAATGTATAAAGTCCACAGTCAATCCTAATAGTTCAAGTTCATAAAAAGAAACAAAATGTAACTATGTTCATTATAGGATCATAAAATATGAAATTGAAGATAATTTTATGGAATGTCTTACGAATTAATTTGTTGCGGCATATCCTGAACTATAGTCCAGTCCCAAGTAGTAATATTTACATGTCTTAATAATGCGGCCATCTCAGGGGATTGTAATTTAGCAACTTCAATGCATGCTTGGATTCCGTGCATCTATAAGATATCAAAAGAGACAATGGTCAAACTTATTCATTCAAAATAATGAATGTGAGTATTTTATCAAAAGAGACAATGGTCAAACTTATTCATTCAAAATAATGAATGTGAGTATTTAGTATGTACTTACCAAAAACATGCTAATATGGTCAAACTTATTCATTCAAAATAATGAATGTGAGTATTTAGTATGTACTTACCAAAAACATGCTAATTGTCTTGAATTGTGATTCAACCATTCCACCAAGCATCGAGTTTAGGATTTGGAACTTCCTAATTTGAGGATGCATAACAACAACATACCAATGATTTCCTTCACTATTTGTAGGAAAAAACACCTATAAAAACATGGATAATTTAAAAGACTTAGTCATATAGTTATCAAATGAAATATTTGAGAAACTTTATATGGAATATAAACATAAAAATAAATATACTATATCAGATGACATTATTTCACGAACATCATTAGCACATTTTTTTATATTATGAAATGATGATGCTACTCCTTGTTGCACATTTCTTTGAAGCAAGCCATATGCGAAGCATGATTGATAGCTAATCTTTTTGTTGTCGAAGTTCTGATTACTGCTTCACAATCTAAGCAAATATGTATATGCATCAATTATCTGAAAAATATAATTTTAAATCACCAAGTTACTATTTACATTCACCAAACCAAAGTCAAAATGCAAAGAATAACTTTATGATTACCAAAAATGCATTTGATTTTATATAGAATAAAGAATAAGTATCTCATTTGATAACCATGCATCAGTTCCAAAGTTTCCACTTGCAAGCAAAGGCTTCAAATATTCTCCCGTGAGAATGATATCACCTATTTGAACAAAAGACTTATTTTTCTCTCCATTGCTTACACATGCCTTGCAATAAGTTATAGCAATAACTTCATCTTGTGTAAGTCCTGGAGGTAGTAAGTCATGATCTTCCTTTACTGCTCCCTGAAAAGCAGATATGATTTCCTCTTCATGTGAATGTTTATTATGTTGGCATGGGTTGATACTATCCTCAACTTCCTTTGATTTTTTTTTGTGCAAATGACATTTTTTTTCTGTACACTTCTTAATGGTTTCATATTTTCTAATGTAGCTTGAGGCTTCTTGTTGCTTTCCCTTTGCTCATGATGAGGTAACACATAAGTCTCACCATTCATCTATTCTGAATCCATATTAGGAGGTTCCATATTTAAATCTACATGAACACTATTTGCTCCGACGTTACTATCATGGCTAGGTGGATTTCTCCTTTCTTTTTCAAATGATTCTCCTTTAAGACTAATGCAAATATTGCATAATTTTTCTTCAATTCTCTGCATATGATTCTAGAAACAGAGGTGATAAAAAATTAAGTTAGGATATATGTAAAAAAGAAGTTTACAAGTAATATAATGCATAAACAAAATTTTAACCTTTGAATATAATTTGCTTTCTCTGATGTCGGATTTGAGTGTGGAAACATCATCTCTCACTTCGAAGATAGCTTGTGTAATTTCAAGCATAATTTTTTTAATATTATTTTCTAAGCAATGCACACTCCGTTCAACTGAAGCCATACGAAATGATAGCATATGTTTGTCCATGTCGTCAAATGTTTCATCTGAAACCTCATCATTTTCCTCATCCTCGTCATCTTTTTCCTTCTCCTCTTTCGCCTCTTTTTCTTCTTCTTCATGATTTGGCCTCAAGTTTTGACCAGCTTGATCATTTGATTTATTTTCAAAAGTAGCATAATGTTCCTAAAAATATATTTACAAAGATAAAATTAAATATAATAGGAAGATTAAGTGGGTACCAAGCTAGATTAAATCTAAATAAAGAATCTATAGTTAAACCTCACATACCTTTTTGTTGGATGTTGTTGCATGTTGTCCTTCTGAAGTCTGAGTTGTTTCTTGTTGTATGTAAGGCATCACTAAATCAAATAGTACTACTAGCTGTAAGAAAGAACATTAATAATGCACATATGAGTTTAATAATATAAATTAATCCAAAAAACAAACTAATCATCTACCTTTTTTCTGTAATTCATGGTACATTTTGTTATCAGCGCGGCCAAATAAATTTTCATAGTTCTCTCTTGATGCACATTGCTTCTCAGTCCAATGTGCCATTATTAGAAGACTTTTAGCATTGTAAACAAAGTCATTACCCGGAAATCTGAAGTGCTCATAATTCCATAGCTAATATAAATGACAAACATATATAGTTATTATGAGATAAAATAGTAAAAAATAAAAACATTAGCTCACTTAAGTTAAAGAATTTACCTGTAACAGAAGCATACACCCATTTACGTACTTCGCATTTTTTTCCTCTGACTTGTAATGCTTGAAAATAAAAGGTTAAGAGTGAATCTAGCCCAATTGTATGAAGAGATTTTTTTGACATCAACCATAATGTTTAGATAATATTGGGGTATATAATCCTTATCATTTATAGGAGTTAGCACAAGTCCCAGTAATAGAAGCACAAAAGATCTCTTAAAGTGATCGTCTGCTCCATCAGATGAACCAATACAATTTATAAGGTGTCTGATTGTAATTTTCTTCGTGAATGGTTCAACATAATATTTTAAAATTTCTAGGTCAACACTTTCATTACAAAGCATAACAATATCACCTTCAGCATGTAATCCCATCAAGTAAACGACATCCTTTTCTAAAAGTGACACCTCGCAATCTCTTATTTTAATTATACGTGTTTCTATATTTACCTTAATCATTAACCAATAACAAAGGCAACGACACATTCTTATATCAGGAATATATAAAATACATCCCAAACCCATATCCACTACCGCTTGTTTTTGTACATCTGTTAAGCCACTTATGATATTGAACATTTTTGTTGGATTGCAATAAATACCAATAGACTCCTCTCTGACGTTTTCTGCATTTCAATTAAATATCAAAAATAAGTACAAGAAAATTAAAATTATAACTCCTAAATAAATCACTTAGATATAAATTCAAGGCTGGTATAAGAAAGCAACTTATGCTTAAGAGATAAGGGGGTTATCTGCAACTTATGCTTCTCAAAATACAAATTCAAGGCTGGTAAGTGCTAGTCACATATAGACAATATCATTACCGAATGAACACCTAAATCAAAAGCAACTGACGTTAGGAACAACAAAGCTTTTAGGGATGGGGAGAGTCGGAATTCAATGAGTTGAAGCGTTTCTTCCTCGACATGTACTGGGTATGCAAAAGAGCTGAGAGTCGTTTCTTCCTCGGCGTCCATCAAAAGCAACGTCTTTTGTTAATTCTTTTGTTATCTTACTTCGTGTAAATTTCAAAAACATATGAACCGCGTTGCAATTCTTACTCAAGATGGACATATCAGAGAACTAGGTTTGTCGATTGGACAAAAAAATCCGTCTTTAATATAGAAAAAAACAAATGCTTACTGAATTGAAGAATGACAAATTTAAGGGCTTAACAACTACATCATACTATATAATTAAAATTTTTTAAAAAGGAAAAAAAAAGAGGGTACCTTTCATGGCGTTCTCTTCAGGAGAATTTTTGGAGGCGGTTTTTTCTAATGGAAAGTGTGGAGATAATGCGGTAAAATTATAAGTTGAGGTACCGTTTGGCAAAGGGTTAAGTGAGGGGTTAAGGAGACTTAACCCCTTCTTAACCTGCCAAACACAACAAATCTATATAAGGGTTAAAGTGAGTTAACCCTCCATAATTTGCCAAACATAAAAAATATAGAAGGGTTAAGTTAACCCCTCTAGAGGGGTTAAAATGAGTTAACCCCTCAAAATAAGGGGTTTACTAATACTCCTATTTAGATGGAATAAGAGTTAACCCTTCTAATTATAAAGAAAATAGTCAAAATCATTGTTATTCCCAAACACTAAAATTGATCATAAGGGCTAAAATAAAACTTATTTAACGGGTTAATAATTTAGTCCTTCGGATTATCAAATGAGCTAAGTACATTAATCCTTCTCTTTAACCCTTCTTCATTAACCCTTTGTCAAGCGGGGCCTGAAATATTAGTTAATTGAAGAATTCTAACTAATAATAAATTTTTGTTTCTCCCCTAAATTATATTTCCTAAAATAACCTTTTTACCTAATGTTAATTACAATTTTAGGTGTGGAACACCTCATAACCGTCAAATCTATCTACCTAGAATTGTGAGAGTTATTTTTAAGGAATTTATTTACGGATTTGCCATTATTGCTCCAACTAATCTCTATGGAGCACCGAAACTGTAGGCATAAGAAAATTAGAAAAACCATGAAAACGCACATCGGTCAAACTAGAACTAGAATAGTAATTTAATATAGGGTTTTTTGTTTTTAGACCCAATTTTTTACTCTGATTTATCTATAAACCCAACAACTTTCTTTTGTATCATTGAACCCAATTAACTTTATGTATTTGTCTCTAAACCCAAATAGTATAATTTAGAGTTAGGGTATCTTGTATTTATACATTTCTCAAGTAAAAATCCAGTATAATTTAGAGTTAGGGTATCTTGTATTTATACATTTCTCAAGTAAAAATCCCAAAATACCCCGCCATCAATCTCCACAAAACCAGTTCTCTCTCCTCTCCGTTCTTTCTTTGCCCTTTTTATAACCGTAGAAAATGAAGAAAACCCCCTTCTTCCTCTGTTCTCTCTCTGTTCTCCATTCTTTCTTGATGCACATCGGATCCCTTCTTCTCTCCTCTTTCAATTCCTCTACAACTAGTCCAATTTGAGTGAAAATCTGAGTCCCAGTTTAAGCCCTAACTTTTCCATTCTTTTCTTCACGCCACCACCGCCGCCATTGCCGACGTCGATGTCTTGAACTCTAGCCGCGATGCTGACAGGCGACTGACTGCTACCATCGTCTGACCGCTGCCATTGCCCAACCGTCACCGTCACATAAGACCGCCATTGCCTTACCGCTACTATCACCTAACACCGCCGTCACCTAACACTTCAACTAACGTCGTCATCTCCTTTAGTGTCTCAACTAGAGCGTATCCCCCTATAATGGTCAACCTGATTGCCGGCGGCTCACTCTCAAGCCTCCACCCCCTTCTCTATAAGTAATCTCTCCTCAAAATTCTGTTTCCTAGCGATTGGTATTGTATCAGTGTGTGCTACTTCTTCTTCTTTTTATTTCAGTTTGCATCTTATTTGTTTAGTTTAGTTTTATTCTTTTTCCATAGAGTGGTTGTCCGTAGTATATGGTAGAATATGAATCCCTCATTCATGCAGTTGATAAAATTTAGTGAAGAGATTTTATTTTGCCTAGAGATGTGAAATAGGTAAATATATGGTGATAGAGAGTATAGTTGATGGCATAAAGGTAGGTAAAAGAGAAGAGATAAAAATATCAATCAAATATGTAGCATTCATGGGATTGTAAATGCATATCACAGTACGTAAGTTTTTATAATATTGTGATTTTGTTTACACTTTTTACAAACACAATGGGGATGATAGCATATTTAACAAAAACTAACAGCTTCTATGTAAAAACTTGACATCTTGATGATTGTAATGTATTTCTATATGTGATTGCTTGATTACCTATAATTTACGGTAGTTTACTGTCGAGTTTATATATAATTTAGACCATAGAAAAGTATTTTGAGATTAATGAAGAAAATGTTGCTGTAGATTAATTTGATATTGTATATATGTTTGTAAAGGATAGAAGATTTCATCATTATTCTTCTCTACGTGGATATATATCTGATGCTAGTGAATTTAGAGTGAAGCTTATTTCTACCATTCCCGATGCTTGGAATTTAGACATTACTTCTTGTCAGGAGGTAGAAAATGTTGATGTACCTCAACAACGTGGGTTAGTGTATTCGATTTATTCATATGTTGTTTTTTCATATGTGCTAATGCATAGCGACCATATATTGCGGGCCAAGAGTGTTATATTTAGAGTGAATCTTATTTCTACCATTCCCGATGCTTGGAATTTAGACATTACTTCTTGTCAGGAGGTAAAAATGTTGACGTACCTCAACAACGGTGGGTTAGTGTATTCGATTTATTCATATGTTGTTTTTTCATATGTGCTAATGCATAGCGACCATATATTGCGGGCCAAGAGTGTTATATTGATATTGCAAACATTTAAACTTGCAATAGCTTGGATTGCGGGGTGTTCTTGATGGCATACATGTTTAACCTCGTTTCCGGTCAAACTATTTCAATTGACCAAAAGGATTGAGCAAGACATAGAGCTCGTATCGTTGCTCTATTTCTACATGAAAGTATATTTTCTATAAGTGTAATGTTCAGCAAGACATAGAGCTCGTATCGTTGCTCTATTTCTACATGAAAGTATATTTTCTATAAGTGTAATGTTCATTGAACCGCTTTTAAACTCAACCTATTGTTCTTTTGATCCGCTTATATTTTGCTTTCAGGAAATCAACGTGATCCCCAAGACCAATTCCACGGATGCTAGATGCCAATTGTGATATCAAGCATTTTTTTGTGTACATATATATGTTTGGAAAGTGATTTGTAAAGTCATTTGTATGAAACCTATGGGACTGTTGTTGGGATTAGTTATGTAAAGTCATTTGTAAAGTCATTTTGTGCGATCAGCCACTGTGGTTAAATTACTGGTTATGTAGAGTTTTGTATGCTTCTAAGTCATTGAAATTGATGGTTTATTGCACGTAAAGTTCTATGGTTCAGCGCACCAGCTACATAAAGTTTTTCCTCAAACAGAACACGATATTCTCTTATAGAGATCAGCGTGGTACACATAACCATAACAGAACAAAAGGAAGAAGAGAACATTCACACATAACCTGCTACACTTACAATGTAACACGCTACACTTACAATGTAACCCGCTACACTTACAGGATAACCCGCTACACTTACAGTGTAACCCATTACACTTACAGGATAACCAGCTACACTTGCAGGATAACCCGCTACACTTACAGTGTAACCCGCTATACTTATAGCGTAAACCCGCTACACTTACAGGATAACCCGCTACACTTGCAGGATAACCCTCTATACTTACAGTGTAATCCGCTACACTTACAAGATAACCCGCTACACTTACAGTGTAACACGCTACACTTACAGGATAACCCGCTACACTTATAAGATAACCCGTTATACTTATAGTGTAACCCGGTACACTTACAGGATAACCCGCAACACTTACAGGATAACCCGCTACACTTAAAGTTAACCCGCTACACTTACAGGATAACACGCTACACTTACAGTGTAACCCGCTACACTTACAGGATAACTCGCTACACTTACAATGTAACCCGCTACACTTACAGT